AAGGTATCGGTGTAAAAAGATTTACGAGACTGTCGGGCATTTTTCGTCTTCTTCGTACTTCTCACCGCGCGACAAATTTTTAACCGCAAAGTTGCAGGTATCGCCATTAACATCGTAGAGCTTCTCTCGGTATGGCAACCTGTTCCAAGGAACATGACGCCCCTGTGAACGGTGTGGCCCATTCGCGTACCCGTTACGCCAACTACTAATTTTCGCCGATCCGACGCAAGGACGTTAACACACGTACATCCTCGACCCATTCCGAAAGAGGGATCCTTTTTTCCCCAAGTAATTTCGTTACGATAAAAAAATATATACCCCGACAAATTGTACATTTGAAAATATTTTATTCCCCTTTTTCCTTCCTTTCCTTTCCTTTTCTTTTTTGAAAAATCATTATATGATACGAGAGAGAGATAAAATTTTAAGATACGAGAAAAGAGAAAGAGATAAGGTGAGGTGAGGTAGGTATAGTAGCAAGGAAGGTGAATACGGAGAGAGAGAGAGAGAGAGAGAGAGATAAAGAGAGGGAGGAGGAAAAGGATAAAAAGAAAATTTTTCAGTCGGTGATGGCTTTATTACCTTGAACCTTTGAATGGACAATTTGTTCCGTAATTATATTCTTGAACCACGTCGGTCAGGCTAACTGGCCACATCACCGATAATTATCGTGAAATTAACACTGAAGAGAGATCGCGTTGTATCTGAAAAATAAATGCAAAAACGTTGTTGCAAGTATCTTAAAACAAAGTATAAAATATCGTCCAACTGATCGAGCCAGACGTGTCTAATTGCGCATTGTCCGAGTCGAATAACGAATTTACATTACGTAACTAAATGTAACTTGAATGAAAGAAAATTATTCGATGCTTGTGAATTTATTCTGTAATTAATATTAGTATTAAACGATCCTGTCTCATCGTTATCGAAAGATCGATAATAGATTCCTATTAAAGAGATATTACGATTTTACCTTTCTTTTTTTTCACGGTTGGACAAGATTTCTCGAGGTCGATCGGAGAATCGATTTTTCTTCATTAATGAAAACATTGTCGGCTAATGAACGGCCCGGGCCAGAAAAAAGGAAAAAGCTTCGGAACAAGATCGAAAGACGATACTCTTTAACTGCAAAATATAGCAAGGACATAATTACCATTTTCCAATTTAGGATACGATAATTGAATACTTACTTTTATTTACTCCCAACTCGATATAACCACCCGATAGAAGTAGACGAGACGCATTTTGTGCGTGAAAAGAAGAAAACAAATAGAGCGATGACAAATTTAACGATAAACATAAAATTTTAAATAACACGGTGTAGTATTAAAATGCAAATACACAGGTCCACCTTGGAAATATATCGATTTCCACGTGTTGGCATTTCGTTACCGGCTGACGTGTGTACGCGCGCGCGCGCGCGCGCGCTGCACAATATAACGCACAGGTAGCACTCGACCTAGAGGAAGGGAATTTATGCGTGCGCGCCACCACCTTCCTTCCTCGCCAAAGACCATGTGGGGTTGCTACCCATAACCTAATCGACCACGCATATGGCGCTTCCGTGAATGCTCTCATGAACAGTTTAGCAGGTATGTATCAAGGTAGCAACGTATATCCAAGCATATGCCGCGTTGCAGGTTCACCGAATTCTTCGCGATTCGCAGGCGAATTCCTGGCGCCCATATTTTCGTTCGTTCCTCTCGGGAACCAAGCGGCGGCAATGTGATTTCAAAAAATTCACGAGATGCCGAAAGATACCGAAACACGCCGGTGGAATTTAAGCTCGCAGATGTCGCGTCGTTTGAGCAAAAAAAAAAAAAAAAAAAGAAGAAGAAGGAAGAAAGAACTATCGATACATTCGACGGAAAATTGAGCGATTGGATGGGGAATACGAGGATACGATCGCTCGAAAATTTTATATTCCCCCGCGCATTATTGTTTCCAACAACAGGTTTACCTTCGAAGGATCGAAGATAAATTGGAGATAATCAATACCGCCTCTGTATCGGAAGAATTTTTTTTTCTCCCCCCTCGCCAAACAAAGTTTCGCAGCTGCGTGCTGTACGAATTTTTTTATCGAAGATTTTTTAATTACCCCCCCATCTCCAAACAAAGCGCACGAGAGTTATACTCGTATTCCGGTGTTATACTCGCCTCGCACGATACCGACTACCGTCACTTCCTAATTTATCGATCGGCAAACCAATTTTTCATTTATATCGTCGAACGACACGCTTTTCGCGAAACGACGAGCTTTCGACGACGATCGAGAAAGAAAGAAAAAGAAGAAAGAGGAGAGGGGGGAACTCGTGTCCTCGGCTAGCGTGGTGTCACGCGTGTAAAGTTGCAATTACTCGGTGAATAAATGTATGAGGCTGCGCATGTGTATCTGTCCGCGCGAGCGAGGCACGAGGCGCGAATGAATACAGTCGTAGCGTTTTCGAGCGCAAAACGAACACGATTTTACGGCTCCATCGGGTTCCATTCTATGGTAGCCGGGGCGCTGCGCTGATTAACGATCCTGGACACGTCGTGGCGGCGAGCCGAACCGGGGGGTTGCCGTCCGTTTCCCATATTGCCGCGCGCGACGACCTTGCCGCGTTTATCACTGCGTTCCAGGAACTACGCGAGACTGGAATCGCGCCGCGCACAGTGGCCGCGTTGTACTTTTCCCGTCGTATACGATAACGACGACTCGGTGGTGGCTTTATCGGTGATAGCGCTCGAAGAAAAGTATTCGCTTCGCAAAAGCGAATGATGTTTCGAACGTGTTTCTCGGCGGACAAGTGGTGCTACGACGGGCACACTGAACGGACGGGGAATCAAGGGAGGGAGGTGGGTCCTTTTCAGCCATGGATATTTATTATTATTGAATCTGCCCACCCATTACTTTAATTATCTCATTAATTATCGTTTAAAAACTGTTTTACATAATCTTAATGGCAGTTATCAATCGGTAGATGTTGCTTCTTTCCGAGTGGTCCGAGCGGGCCTTGCGTAATTGGTTCTTACAAGTTGTTATTGTATTTACATAATCAACAGACGTATCATTACGCGTGTTATCTTCTTGCAACATTGAATAGCGAATTGCTATTTCTTTCTTTTTTTTTTTAACGAAAATTTATCCTCGTCTCTTCTCTTATCTTTTTCAGCCAAACCTCTTGACTGATGTTGCTCGTTCGAACAATTTCATAATTCGTCCATTTACAAGTTGTCGTCTTTCGTCGGCCTCTAAGAAGTCGCATAAAATGATCAGGAACTTTTTTGTGTTGTCATCGGGCGGAGGATAAACAAAAGGAAAAAAAAAAAAAAAGAAGACAAAAAAAAACCCTATCTTTTAACTGTGAAAACGCGCGAAAAACATCGAGTAGCGAGGCGTAAGAAGCGATCGGCCGTTTACTTGAGACGCGGGTCAAAGATTTATCGCGCGTTCCGCGTCCCTCTTTTTTCATCCGTGTGTGCGTACAGCGGATCATTCGCCGCAGTCATTTTTCACGTGAACGAACAAAAGGCAACGGCACGAAGGACAGCGCACGTTCCCGCTCGACTATCTGTCCACCAGGATCTGTCCCTCGCTTACTTCGGTTCAGAAATGCCCTTCCCTCTTCCCCAATCTTTCGCACCGGGAATCGTTTGTTCCCGGTTATCGAGCTACGAATTGACACTTGGCTGCTTTCGATTCCATTCAAAGGAATGGGAATGGGAAACGGTCGAAGCACGATTGAGAATATTATCGTCGAAGAGAAGAACGGAATACAAGGTATTCTCTAATCGATGAACAGTGGATGACTGCGAATATCGAAACGCGAAGAGAAGGTCGAAATACATATTTTTGTTTACAACGTATTCACTAATCGGTGGATGCGTTGAAACGCGAAGGAAGGTCAAAACACATATTATGGTTTACAACGTATTCTCTAATGGATAAACACTAGATGCGTCGATCGTCGAAACGCGAGAAGAAGGTCGAAACACATATTTTTGTTTACAACGTATTCTCTAATGGGCAAACGGTGGATGCGTAGATCGTCGAAACGCGAGGAGAAGGTCGAATTTTTGTTTACAACGTATTCTCTAATGGATAAACGGTGGATGTGTCGAAACATAGAGAAGATCGGAATACATATTTTTCTTTACAACGTATTCTCTAATGGGTAAACAGTGAATGCGTCGATCGTCTGAACGCAGAGAAAATGCAACGTATTTTTTAATCGATAATCGGTCGAAACACGATTGATTGCGAATACGTATTTTTCTTTACAACAAATTCAAATCTAATGGATAAACACGGGATGGATGCGTCGATCGTAGTGTAACAAGAAATCGCATGACGCATGCAGGTTGTAAAAAAAAAAAGGACTCTCGATTAAATTTTATCGCGACAATAACTATCAATGATAAATATCTTATCTTAGCCGTGAAATTTTACAACGAGCGATGGAGAAATTAACGATCGGATAAGTTGCACGTTGTCGCTTTTCCTTTCCCCCTCGATCGATCTTGGGAGAGAAATTTAAGATTCGCCACAAGGCTGTTTACGAACCGCAATATTTACGACTTCGTCCTTTCGGAAGGGTATCTCTTGTTCTTTTCGGGAAAAATATCCCTCCTTCTTCATCTTCGTTCTTGATAGCCGTCATCGGAGGACGGATAACAACTTCTCCTTCGAACAAGAGAGGATTTTTTTAATCAATTACACAAGATGAACGCGAAGTGATGCCGCGATTCGTCAAATTCAGTAGTATTCGTTTTTTACGAAGAAGCAAAAAAAGAAAAAAAAAGAAAAACGCACGACGAGCCTTGAAGATTTAAAATTACAAAATTATCTTGATTTTCGCGAAACAATAACGTCTGCTCCCCCCCTCTAAAGGAATTGGCGCGCACGCAGGTACGAGATGTCAAGGTGAAGCGAAGGAAGAAGGACGTACGCCAATATTTCGCTCTCGACGACCTTTGATCCGTCGGGCTCGCTCGGGCATCTCCTCGTCCGAGACTTCATAGATCAACTATGGAGATATTAAAGATAATAAATGCGCACGCGTTCGACGCGCGATAATGAAATAAACACTTCTCATTCGAAGGAATTCGAGATAAAGACGTGCACAGGTATTCGAGATACGCTTGCACGATAAGATTCCTCGCGATTATCCCGCGAACGAAATTATCAGAAACCTGAGAAACAAACTTTGTTAATATCGAATACGTCATGATAAAAATGAAAAATCGACCGATCGAAAAATAACGAGAGTTGATTTCGTGCAAGAGTGGATGGAAAAGTGGGGTGAATTTTAATAAAATGCATTACCTTTTTTTCCTTTTCAGATCAAAGATGACGAATATGGATAACGGCGACGCAAAAGTTTTCCTTTTCCTTTCTTTTTCTTTTCTTTTCTTTCCGTCCCTCCATCTTTGGTAATCGACTCATTATGTGGCAGAGGGGTAATTACGATCGGTCGAGGTGTAATTAACGAGGTACCGGCGCTAAGAACCTCGGCAGAGACGCGCTATACCGGTGTTATCTTCAAAATCTTCCCCTTCCTCTTCCTCCTCCTCTTCTTCCATTCTTCTTCTTCCCTTTCACTTAACTCGATTCGCGCTCACCTTTCTCTCTCTCTCTCTCTTTCTTTTTCTCCCTGCTCGTCATCCCTTGTCCCTTTTTCTTTTCTTTTTTTTTTTTCCTTTTGCCGCGGCTCTCTTTTTCAAACCTTCTTTCTCCGAGGGGTTTGTTCTTCGTTATTGCTCGCTGGAGATTATCGACGTTTTTAGCACCTCCATCCTCTCGTATTTCATCTCTTCTTATCTCTCGTTATTATCGGAATAGGAAAAGGAAATTGCGACGAGATTTTTTTTTTTTTTTCTTTCTTTCTTTCTTTCTCCTCGCGTGATAAGATCAAGCGTTTTGGCATTGGTCACGGAGGAAAATTCAATTTTGTTTGTTTGTGGAGAATCGCGCGTGGATTAATTTTTTTTTTTTTTGTTTTTTCATTTAGGATGAACCAGCCGCCAGCCACCTGAAAGAAAAGTATTATTTATAACGAGCGTAAAATTTTCACGGGGAGGAGGGTTGGTTTTATTCGTGGTTAATACGAAGGTTAAGGAAAGAGACGGGAGAGCGGTGAGAAGCCTGGTTGGAAACAAAACGGCAGGTGGATCTCGCTCGAAATTTACTCATGAAGCAGAAAAAGGGTTTTCAAGGTTGGGGAAAGCAATGCTGTATATCGTGATCTCTCTCGATAGACACGTCTGAATTAAAAAACGATATCGGAGAGAGAGAGAGAGAGAGAGAGAGAGAGAGAGAGAGAGAGAGAGAGAGAGAGAGAGAGAGAGAAGAAGAAGA